TTTCGTTTGTCTCTTCTGTTGTAGCATGCCACAAAACGAACCACATGATGGGCACAACCTCTATAACGTGCTTCCAACACACAAAACTGAAAACATTGAACCCAGGGGAGGCGGGATCGAAACGGCATCAAGAGACATCAGTGAAAGAGAGAGAGAGAGAGAGAGAGAGAGAGAGAGAGAGAGAGAGAGAGAGAGAGAGAGAGAGAGAGGAGGTGGGGGGAGCGAGATAAAATATTCTACATGCTCGCGCGTGTAGTTTACTTCAAATTTCTTCGAGAGGGACTTTGCTTCGCTGCTCATAATTGCATCATCAACATGGTCCGTGCTTCTTCACACCCTTCCAAGACACCCAATCCCCTCGCCCCTGCACCCAACAACGCCTCCCAAGGATGCTATGCTGCTGTGGTGGGTGTGGAGCTAGCATCACATCACGGATGTACGTTCTCAACCACTGTTGTGACCAGGTCATAGCTACCCGCTCGATTCCTCAACACACCATGTATGCACATAGGTATGGATGAATTTCCTCCCTCACAGACATGATCGCGCAGCTACATGCACAAAGGTATTAGTCGTGCGGTGGTGGATCGCGCGTGGGGCGTTTGGATCTCTCTCTCCATCTCGCCTCTCAAAAAAAGATGCATGGCGTCTGCTGGCTGTTGTCTATCTACCTAACGCCGCGTTTAATCTCGACGGTGCTGCAGTTCGGCAAGAAACTAGGGGGAGCTTCGAGAGCTTGAGTGCAGACCCACGCAGGGTCGATGCATGTGTACCTCTTTCCGTCCAGCCCTTGACCCAGTTTCAACACCAAGCCCACGCTACGACCCCACCGGCCCCGTACTCCACCCGTCTCCAGTATATCGCCTCTACGCAGGTGGTCACCAAGGCGCGACTGTGATTGCAAGGATGTTCCTAACACTACATAGGATTGACAATTGCCCGACTAGCTTTCGAGGTGTTGGGGCCAAAACGGAGTGGATGTGGGTGACATGGAGAAGCCGAGACTCGTCGTGCAACCGTAGTCAGGCTTCGAAATGACTTGGCAGCAAGAAACCACAGCAGTACCCCTTTGTAATATTTAGCCTGTGACCAACTGCTGTGACACAGATATGTATCTTGTGCCTCTGGGTGTTGTCCTCGCCACTGTACAGTATATGTGTGAAGTGAGAGGTTCCATGCGACGCTGAAAATTGTTCAATACACGTGTGGAACGAGAGGGGGCATGGTTGCACGCGGTGCTTCCAGTTGTTCGCCTTGTGTGCCGGCAAAGAAGGTGATGCGGAAACGGCCGGACGATGTGTTCGTGGTCTTACTGCTGTCTAGGTTGAACACAAATAAACTAGCACGAGTTTCTACAGTTCGTTGCCCACACCGCAGTGCACTCCTCTACTGCCTGGCCGTCTCGTACCAAGCACCTACTGCCAACGCACCTTGAGCCCTTACGAAAGGGGTACAATAGGTTGAAGCATTGCGGTGTACTCGGTTCATGCGGCCCGACATCCAAAAATACGCGCTTTTGAGAAACTTTGCCTAGGATGCAACATTTCTAGAAGCATACCGCAACATGAACAATCAAGGAGACGAGGAGATGTACAGGATGCCAGGCGTGGGGAATGGGAGAGGGGGGGGGGGTTGATATTATGACGGGGGAGCTTGTGGTGATCTCTGTAAAGTTGCTGCCGCGCGAGACGCGCAGAAGGCAGGCGGCAGAGGAGAGGGATGATGCAGATGGTCGCTGACAGCAGCTGCTGCCGACCCACAGCAGGCGTCATCGAACCAGCCATCGCTGGTGAAGTGCCTGGAAGAGAGAAGCACAAAAACTCACTCACCTGAGAAGAAGGTCGTATTTCAGGAACAGGGGGTTGGCTGCGCTGTGCTGTGCCCGCGAGAGACAAACGAGTACTTCACGTTCCACGTGGGTCCACGACGGGGGGATACACACCTGGTATTTCCGAGGTATACACCGGATCATGATAATCCCAGGTAAGGCCCCCCGCGGCGACGGTGTCGAGGGGACCACTGCGCTGCAAAGCAGTGATCTCCGCGCAACGCGAGGTGTCGGCTGAAAGAGTAAGCTGTGCGGACTGGGCTTACGGTGATCCGATCCCTGAGGCTTGCTCTAGAATCGAAAATCTAAAGTCAAAAGGGTGTCGGCGGCAGACAGACCCCAGCTGCGGTGGCTTTTTTTGGCGCGAAGCAAAGCGGGGAACAGGGGAGTCTTTTGCATTCATGGCCCCCGATGGCAAGGGACCGCCGCTTGGCACAGCAAGAAAGAGCGGCAAGTCTGTCAAGAGAGGTGAGAGTGCGTTACCCTAGCGCGTAATTCCGTAGTTTTCTTAGGCTCGGGACAGGCTCTAAGTCACCAGGACCTAAAATAGCGTTCTGCCATTGTCACCTCATGTCGTCGCTCTCCTGGTGTGCAAAAGTGCAAAGATCCTCAATTTCTCAACGGCGTGATTACGCGTTGTACCTTAGGGCATATGGTGTGTGTGTGCCACACGCGATGGCGGCACCCACGCACAGGTCCGATCGGGATGCGGTGGAGAACTTCGTTCTAACCCACGAGAGGAACCACTTGATCGCATCTCGCAACGCCACACCCCAAACGAATCGGCTCAAGTACTCGGTTTAACAGAACCAAACACTGCTGCTCTGCTGCACTCTGGAGAGCGGTAGACTACAAGCAGTACATCGTAGGCACGAATGCATTGTCAAAGGTGGGGTGCAAGGCAGACTTACTTGAAAGCGGTTGTTGCTCGCACTCGGCGCCCCCCCTCTCTCTGCTAGTACTGCAGCTTTGGAGGCCGGATGTTGAGTAACAGGGGCGCTTCCTTGAGGGGGAGCTTGACGAAAAATGCCGCCGTTCCTCGAGCGTCGCATTTTGAGGTTGATGTTGATGGGGAATCTCCATTCGTGCAATGCAACCATCCCCTTGCTTTGTCCAGCGCCTCCTGCTGGCACATGCATGCAGCACAATCAGCTTCCGCTTGCAACAAATGAATCAACAAAATAGTGCATGAAGGCACCCTAGAAAATCCCCCTCTCTCGCTATCAAGCCAGAGCTTCTATGTGGGTGGCCTAACACCCCCAGCTTGAGCTCCGATGTGCGTAGTCTAGAGAACGGGCACGCCACACCCCACGGGAAGCACCCACAGGGCTGTACAAGCAGCAGTCGTCTTCGAGCCCGAGGCTACAATTCGCATAAAGCCAGAATAAGCAAACATACCACGTGCTGCGCAGAAAGTAACAGCAGCAGGATAACAGGCGTCGCATCTACCTATTGCATGCCCCAAATACAAGCGAATCATTAGGAGCTCTTGCGCCACCAAGAAGCCCGTGAGTTAGGAAACACCCACAGCAGCTAATGCAGCAGTCGCCCTAGAGTCCGAGGCTCTAATTCGCACAAAGCCGGAAGAAGAAACGCACCGCCATGTACAAATCGCAGCACATAGTGCCAGCAGGTTAAGAGGCATCGCATCTGCCTACTTCATGCCCTCAAAGGGAATCGGAAGGAGCTACCCTTTGCGCCACGAAGAAACCAGTGAGTCCTGGCTCCACCCCCGATAGGCTCCACGCCCTATAATAGAGGTGTGAGAAAGGCTCAAGAAACCTTGCACTCAAGACAACAGCCAAAGGAGTGTACGTGGCTTAATTGAAATCCGAACCGGTAGACAAGCCTTGAAATCCGATTTGAGCGGCTGAGGAGACACGGGAGCCAGAGAGAGAGAGAGAGACAGCATCGTTTATCACAATTTACCACCGCAAGGACAAGGGGGTTGAGCGTCATTTTTTTGTCTTTTACTCGCGCAAAGTTGTCACGCTCTCGTCCCCTCCCCACGCGACTCTCGCTGTTTTTCTTACTGTCGCTGTCTCTTTTCTTCTTCTCTTTCATTGCTCGACTGGTGGCGTGCAACAACACCTCAAAACCAACAGCAGCAGGTTTCGGAGGAGAAGGCGGTAGCAGCAGCAGAGGCAGCCGCGGCACTGCCACTGTCTCCACTCCAACTGCCCCCCGGTCTTCATCTGCCGGCGTTGTCGACCTTTCCTCGCCTTCGTGGGACGACGACCCTTTCCTCGAGGCCGCCGAGCACCCCCAAGGCGCAGCGGAACCGAGCGGGAGCAGGCGAAACCCGAAAAGCAACAAGATGACCACCACCGGCGGCGGCGGCGGCGGCGGGAGTACGGCAGGGAGGCGTCGCCCCGCAGCCCCCCTCACCTCGATATCTGCGTTATTCGGGGGCGGGGGCGGGGGAAATCGGGCCAATCGAGCTGGGTGCGTGGTGGTCTTTGGGGGGTGGATGTGTGGCTGTTGCTTCAGAGGCGGCCTCTGTGTTGGTTTCGATTTTGTTTAGATGGAAGCTACAACACCTCCAGCGGGAGGTGGTTGGAGCGGCGGCTGAAGGCGGTGTTGGTGTGTGGCCGCCATACAGATTATCCTTGTTATAGGGACGAGAACATGCACTGGTTGGAGTTGCATCTGAGTTGCTGAACGTTCTCGGCAAAGCGGGGGACTGCTGAGCTTGTTCGTGGTGGCCCTACGGGGTGACTTTAGAAGGGGGCATGCGCTCGCGCACCCTTGGGGTAGGTCAGCTGCAGACTTCGGAACACATGGGAACGACTTATTGAGGTGCTGCTCAGTAAGAGACATCCGACCGATTTTCTTCTGTCAGAGAATGTTAATAGTAGCCGCCACATCAACCCCCCCCCTCCCCCCCTACCCCGCACCGACACGAAAGCAGCTCAACCACGGCGCCCCCTTCCAAGCCTCGAGCGGGGACGAAACGCCCTCGCCCCCCCGCCGCGGCGACAGGGCAGAGTAGAGTGAAACTGCCCCCGCCGCCGCCGGCATCGGCATCCGCGGCGCGTGGGGGGCGAGAAAACATGCGGCAGAATCATCACCCACTCCGCCATCCACTCGGCGCCGGGGGGCTCGGTGCACGTGAGGCGACGGCCGGGAATCGGGATGGATCTGTTGCGAGGGGACGGGGGGGAGTGGAGGACCAGCTTTGGCCGGATAAGCACCGCCCGAGAGACATCTCGTGTCTGGCGGTTCACTCGAAGAAGGTATTTGTCCCGGCGTGTCTTGTTCCGTCTGCTGCTGCGTTACGTTAGGGCGGTTGGATTGTTACTGCTTTTCATGCCATGAGAGCAGAATTTTGTTGTGTCAGCTACTTGTAGATCACTACGTATTGGAGGTTTGGCCTCAGCGCTCATGATGTTGTTTTCGGTTTCGGCGTAGGTTTGGTTTGATTGGTTTGGTGCCGGTTTTTAAGGTTATGGCTAGGTTTTAATGACGGACGTTTTTTTTCTGCGGTTATCCTCGAATCCTTGCCGAAGAAAGGCTTATCTGTTGGTGTCCATGGAGACGAAGTCAAGCTAGTTCCATCCCGCTTGCCGTCTATAGACACTAGGCAACGGTGATTTACCCTCACCTCTCAAGTCTAACCCCAACCTTGCCCCCCACGCCTCTCCAACGGTCGGTGGCGTAAAACGCTTACTTTCAGGTGGATGAGGTCCGACACTGGATGACCCTGGCGCTCGCCGCGCGGCCGGGAAACGAGGAGGCTTGCCGCGTGTTGGCACTAGTGGGACCCCCGGGCTCGGCGAAATCGACCATGGTCAGGCTGCTGGCCCAGGACATGGATGTCGAGCTGGCAGAGTGGCAGGTAGGCGGGATTATGGTTTAGTGTTTGTTTGCCACGGGAGGAGTAGGGGGGGGGGGGGGGGGGGGGGGGGGGGCCCCAAAACGCGGCCTGGCCCAATTCATTTAACCTTTGGCCCCCCCTTCGTGCAAGCCCGGGCAGGGGCCCCCGGGGTTTCCCCCGGGACCGCTCCTGGACCCCCCCACGGGGAATGCCGGGGGGGCATTTGGGGATCCCCACCACGGGGATCCCGCCCCTCTCTTGGGG